TGTCTCTACAGAAATGTTTGTGTTAATTTAACATAATATGGATATGTTAAATAGAGACGCAGATACTGTATTAATATTTTAACACAAAATAAATGCAAAACTTCAAGTAATTATCTTTAAGTAAAATAAATTTTATGTAAAATTAACAGTTTTAATGCAAAAATTAACTAAAAATATGTCAATTTTAGATTTTATCGTTCATATTTGTATTATAAAATAAAAAATCAACATTTTTTTCTAAATTTTTACAGATAAATCTTGTTATTAATAAAACAGAACATATTTATTATGTAAAATTAAAAATAGATGCATTTTGTTATTTTTACATCTTTTTTCAGTTGTTTTAATAATTTTACATTTAAGTTCAATTAACACAACAGCAATATATGTTAAATTAACACATGAATATGTTAAATATTTAATACAAAAACTTGAACAGAGGAATCGTTTTTAACAAGAAAAACACAAATTTTCCTACTGTGTAAATACATATTGAAGATAAGTGATTAAAAGAGCAAGATAAAAATTTAAGTACACAATAGATCTACATGGATTTATTTCTTTTTTTTTCTTTCCTCCGTAGATTATATTAATAACAGAAATAATAGAAATTAGAAATGGATCAAATGAGGAGAAAAATGAAAAAACATCTCGCACTAAGTAATAGGCTCGAGAGAGCTGCGAAAAAAGTTCTAAAAATAAAATGCCTAGGAACCAAGCGAGAAAGAAATACCGACTTACTTTCTTTATTTTAAGGAAAAAAATTTTAATTAAAAAACGTAAAGAACAATTTTATAAAAGAAAATCCAAATTCGATTCAGCGATCGAAACAAATATTGAAGGAGGTTCTGCTTCGCACTCCAAAGCTGCAAGCAATCATGAAATATACGACGAAATAATAAATCCTTGCAAGAAGAGGCTGACATACTTACAAGAGGAATCGCTTTTGAATGATTTGAAAACGTGGAGATGCGAAACACGGGAAAATTATTGTACCTGTCAACTTTGCGCCCTCGAAAAATTATCAACGCTTGCTTGCGAGTTAGCTCGACGTGAAAACATATGTAAATCTTGGATTAAACATAAACGGCCGAATAATAACTGGTTGACAGAATTCGAAATGAGGCACAGCGAGGAAATTTCCCGTTTCAAGTCTTTTAAAAGATGTTGGAGGAACCAGACGGTTGTGGAGTTTAGATTTTCCAAAGCAAAAATATCGATTGTATCGTGAATCAAATATGACATGTAAAGTCTCGGAATGTAACAGGCATTGCATTTCGAATTTAAATCCATGGATTTAACAGTAACTTTGTGTAAAACAATATTTGTAAAAGAATTTTAGCAAAACAATACTTATGTATATACATACATATATCAATCTTAAATCTTTATACATATACGGCAATATATTGTATATATTATGATATATATGTGTATGTGTATATATATAAATTTGTTTACAAAAGATTATCACACTGTAAATATTATAAAATTCTCATATCTACATATGATCGAAATGATTATAAAAATTTTAGGGCTAGTTCAACAAAAATCTCTAATTACTTTTTTTCAAGAAAATCTGTAAAGTATTATAATAAGGAAATTTATTAGTTTTTTATTGTATACGTAAATGTGATTTTAAATTGACGATGATTTTTAAGTTAATTATAGTAAACCAAAATTAAGGCAATTTGATTGATATTTGTATATGTATACATATATTTATATGTATATATGTACATATTGATAAACACTACATATTAAGAATATGCTAGAAAAATTTCTGTAATTTTGATATTTTATAATATAAGAATTTTTACTTAAAAAAATAATTATATAGAAAACAATATATAATGTCACGAGTTTTGAGATATCACATAACATAATTTTTTCCGAACTATTTACAATGATAATATAAATATGTATATATTTATAGAGATAAAGATTTTTCTATGATTTTTTAATGAATACTTTTTTTCAATAACATTAATTAAAAGAAATGGCTGTTTGATATTTATACATATTATTTTTTATTTTAATTTTATTAAATAAGAATATTTTTTATATTTTATAAAATCCGATATGCTCTTTAATTAGTTTCATTGTGTGACAATTAAACACTTAACAATAAATAAACTTTCATCATGATTTGCACAAAGTTTTCAATCATAATGCATCGATAACTGAAACATAATTTTAAAAAACACGTTTTTTTCAATTGATTTTTTAAATACAGCTTATATGAGAGGAAAATAAGCTTAAGGAAGCTAATTTTCCTGTATATCTATTAATATTATATAAATATTGTTTACAATTTCTTGCATTTTATGTAAATCTTTTCTTACAGCTGTAAAAATTATATATTATTTGTATATTATAATATAAAGAAAGACAGATTTTAACGCATTGCAATTCTTCAAATACAAACCATTATTTTACTTTCTCATTTATTCTATAAGAATCCAAATATTTATTTAAATTTTTTTTAAATTTAATATATGCGTATATAGCTAAAACTAACCTGTAAGCATACAAACAAGACAGGAAATTCTGTATTTCAGGATAGGTCCGGAGATGATTATCTCATTATTTATACAGAGAGTCTCAATTTTATCTCATTTTTTACGTCAGTTTGTTCACGGTTGAGTGAAGAGAAAAATCTTCGATACGACTTCCTCCTTCCATTTAACGCCGTTTGAACCGCAAATCGCGCACACGTGATTCAGGTATTCCGGTCGAGATCTTGTCCTTTTTTTCTTCTCCTCGCGCCATAAGGTAGCTGTAAGATACGAGACGTCGCGAGAGAAGATGAAGAAGGACGCGCTTGTATGACCGTGTATGACCGTAAGAAGCCACGTGGCCCTTGAATGGCGGCTCATTGGAAATGAAAGTAACGCGAGTTTCAAATACCAGTCTTATGGACGAAGGATTTTGCCTCTCTCTCTCTCGCTTCCCCTTCCTTTTCCCCTCTTGTAATGGCTTGATTTATCCTTAAGGAGATGACGGACTGACGGTCAAACTTCGATAGGTTAGCACCACACATAACCGCAAATATATGCATGAAAATTTATTAATATATAACTTTTTTATTAAATTTGTAATCTCACTTCTAATTGTGCATTAATATTCTTTCATGTTATCCCTATTGCGCGAGCTATATCTTATGCACAGACAAACTGCAGAACTTTTTTTATTAAATAAGTATTTTACGAACTGGCACAAAAGAAATCGATAACAAAACTGTAATTTTTCATTTTTATATGATTTATATATAGAATTATAACTAGCGCGGTCCGTTTTTTTTAAGTACTTTAATCGTGGATCCCCTTAAGGGGATGCTGCCGTTGTTCTGTTTTACCGACTATAAGTTAGGTTAGGTTTACTTTTTATTGAATATACAGATTGAAAAATCCTCCACAATGAAAGTACTGATAATAATGAATGGGGAGCGCTGTCTAACTAATTTTTGCTGTTTTATGCCTCGACATCGATTCCGCGTGCAAATATACCTACATAATTCATTCAAGTACGAATCTTTTGATACAGGCGTTTAATCTCATTTTTATTATTTCTGTATTCTTTCATGTCATCTCTATTGGGAGCGCCATATTTTGTGCACAAATAAACTGCATAACTTTTGTATTAAATAAGTATTGTTATGAGCTGATGCAAAAGGCCAATAAAAACTGTAATTTTTTAACTTTTATTGTTTTTTATACGAAATTACAGCGCTCCCCGTTTATTATTATCAGTATTTTAATTGTGGAGGATTTTTTAATCTGTATAGCTAATAAAAAGAAAAGCCCTTGAACTCAAAGTCAGTTAAGTAAAACAGTCATGTTCAGCATCCCATTAAGAGGATCCTAAACACCATCCTATTTTATCGATAAAACATCGTTTTTTGCACTCTTTTCTCTTCTTTTTTTTTTTATTTAGAAATTAAAATTTTTTTTGGTTTTAATTTAAACCCGATAAGTTCTCGCTTTGTTTTCATATGTACTCTAATTGTGACATCTGATCAGAATTTCCAGTTAACTTTAACCTTTTTCACATAAAAAAAATTTTAAATATTACAAAAAAGCTATAATATTTTTTGCATATCAAACTTCAATTATTTCGGAAACTTGAAATTAGTTTGTGGCATCGTTTTAAGCATCAAAAAATCAAAAGTTTTATTAAATTAATTTCATTTAAAACTTACTTTAATTAAGTTTATAAAGTTATTTATTAATAAAAAATAATAAAAATAATTTTCATATGAAGAAATATATGGGAAAGCGAAATATAAGCTTCGTCTGTATGCTTTGCCTGAGAAAACTGAATGATAATATGTCCAGTTTCACTTTTCGTGCCGAATCGCTAAACGGTACTCAGAAATCTTTCCGCGCGCGTTGCTTGCGAAATTCTTCATTGTCCCGCGGTAGCGATAGAGAAGAAGGAAACGGAGGAGGAAAGAGAGAGAGAGAGAAAACGAGGGGCGTATGTGTGCCAAGAGGTTTTTCTCAGTCGTCGACCGCGATAGATACGGTCGGATTGTTCATTTGACGGAGAAAAATTCACACTCTTGCCAGGCGAAATCGACACCTTAGACAAAACTTTTTTTAAATAAGTAATAATTTCGTCCTTGAAAAAAAATTATTAAAATTTCTCTTATTTATTTAAATGAGATATTTATTTCTTATCCTACATTCTCTTTGAATATCATTGTGTGCTATATAAGAAATAAAATTTAATTTTAATTTTTTTAATTTTTAAATTTTTGTTTTAAACATCTTGAAACATTTTTTATATAAATCTAGTTTTATATATAAATTGATATATATATATATATATATATATATATATATATATATATATATATATATATATTAGTATATATTTAAAACCATTGAGAATAAATGTATATTTTATTTTATATATCTTTTTTGTAAATAAAAAAAATGTTCTAGCATTATAATAATTTTGAATATTAATGTTTATTATTTCCTTTGTGTTTTCAGGATCAATTCGAGAATCTGTCCCTACACACGCAAAAAGGGATAGAGTTTCTCGAAAGGTATGGCCACTTCATACGCGATCGGTGTGCAATCGAGTTTGAATATGCAGCAAAACTCAGGTAAGAGATGCAACATTTTATTTTATTTTTATTAAGGATAATTCAGAAATAATTGAGGATTATAAAAAAGTAGAAAATATTTAGATATTCATGAATCAACAATAATAAATACAAATAATAGATAGATTTTTAATAATACTAATTGTTGTATTTAATTTTTTATCTATTAATTTATAAAATTTTTATATTTTATATTATATTTTTTTATATTATATTTTTATATATATTATATTATTATTTTATTATTATGTTATACTTTTTGTATTATATTAATAATATAGATTTATGCATACAGGGTGTTCTATTTTAAATAATGGATTAATATATTTGAAAAATAAAAGCTATCAAAAGTGTTTTATACAAAAGTTATTGGATTGCGAGGGGGACATCTGATGGTGTCCTTGACTTTGACCTAGAAGTCAAATTTGAAGGTCATTAGAAGGTCAAATTTGTTTCCAAGTTTTCCAAAACACTATAATAAAGTTCATTTTCATTAAGTATTTTCCGAGTATTTTATGAGACTGTATATATATTTTACATTTTATAAAAATACGAAAAAATTGAAGAAAGACGAGAGGAGAAACCGATATTCTATTTGGAAAATAATTTGACGCGAAGAGATATATGACTGACAGCAGGTGCACGCGGGGTCACTCGATTTCGCTTTTATGCACCTTGCATGTACCCCGTCCCGATGCATTCGTGTTCGTGCATACTGCTCCTTTTTCCTCGGATAAACCTCGACGAAGGGTGCAGACATCCAAGGTGAACGATTTCAATGGGACATCCTGTATAACGAGCGTGTCTCACGCATCCCTCGCGATGGGTTCAGGGACGTGGCGAGATATACAGGGTGTTCTATTTTAATGTCCCACATAAGATGGTGCCATTAGTTTGACCTTGAGTAGTTGCTTGAAAGTCACGTGAAGGTCACCTTCCATTTTTTAAATGGAATCACTTATTTTTTATTGCACATTCTTGTAGCTGATGTCGAGAGCTTTCCGAAACACTATAATAAAACATTTTTTTATTAAGTACTTTCTGAGTTATAAAGGTTCGAAGTTGAAAGTCACGTAAAGGTCACTATCAATTTCTTTATTATGAACCCCTATTTTTTATTTTATATTCTTACAGTTTATCTCGAAAGTTTTCCAAAACTCTATAATAAAGTATTTTTTCATTAAGTACTTTTTGAGTTATAAAGGTTCGAAGTTAACAATTTTTTAACATAAAATGTAAAATATTTAGTTTTCGGTAATCGTACCTGTCCCCCTCGAAACCATACAACTTTTGTCTGAAATATTTTCTTTTACAATAAAAAATAAAAAAGTTGTTTGGGGTGGGACATTAAAATGGGACACCCTGTACATATAGTTGGTATAATATTGTATTAAAGAGGTCCCTTGTCCGCGCTCCGTGAATGCCGTCCACTGTGGTCGCACTTTTGTTTATCGGGTGTCTCGAAATCCATTCGTTCTTCCACTCTTAATTACTGCATTTTGCATCACGCTTAATTACTTCGCCGCAGGTTTCCTCCGGTGCTGATTGTAGGGTGTAAAATATATACAAAATTGCCTTTGTATGCATTATTAAGTCACACACTTTGTAATTAAATAATAGAAAAAAATAATGCAAATCGGGATCGAAAATAAGTAATTTTTAACGAAAAAGAGGAGTTCGTACAGCGCTCGGCTCTTAATTAATTAGCTTAAAAAAATTATAGAAGTATAATTGGAACAAAATTTGTCAAGGCAGAAATATTTTTTATTTTACTTTTTTCAATGCAATTTATATTATTTCTATTAATTAATTTATTATTCATTAATTTATATTAATTAATTTATATTATCATGTATGGTATATCTTCTTTCAAGGAAAGGATTTTAAAAAATTTAGATATTAAAATATAATTAATTATGTCACATAATAAAATAGTTATATTAATTTATAAGTTGTATAAATACATTTAAGTTACAACTTTTTATATTTAATGAGAAAATATGTATTATTCTACAGAATCATTCTGAGTTGATTCTTATTAAAATATCTAACAATAAGTCAGGAAAGTTCCTCCGAATTAGTTTACAAATTAAAAAATATATAATTAGAAATATTTATTATGAGTTATATACTGTAAAAAAATATGTAAAATTACATTTATTATTTATATAATTTTACATATTTTTTACAGTATACTAAACAATTTTTATTCGCGAAGAGATAAATCATTCTCTTATTGCCTCTTGTTCATTTTCTTCAAAATTTTTTTCTTGAAATCTTCGCGCAGCTTTGCTGCATCAAGGTTGCAGGAGATTCATCGCGATATAATGTATTTATAGTCCGACGTGTATATAGCACATCGTAAAAATTAAAACGGCACGCCCCCGGATTCCGTTTAATTCGCGAGTTACGATCGAAAATAATTTCCCGCGCTCTCGCGATCTGATATATTTCTCCGATTATTATTGCGACACGCGTACGATTCGTGATTTAACTCGTTGATGCACCTCGATGGGTAGGAACATGCATTGTAAATTTCTGAATACGTATATGAACAGCTTTCCCCGTAAAAGAAATCGGGCGAAAACGTGTGAAAACTGTAAAATTGACAGCTGTTCAAGAGATGATATACTATACAATTTATAATATTTTATTAAATAATAAAATGTGTAATAAATATAGTATGATAATTTATTATTTACTATAATATACAATAATATATGTGTATATGTATTAATAATGTTTCTTTATTTGATAAAAAATCACAATATGTTTTTTATAGAATATTTTTATCATAAATATTTAATTCTAAAAATATTGATTTATTATTATGTATATTTTTAGCACTTATCAAATAATTTTTTAGTAATCTAAATTTTAATATGTATATAAAACTTGCAGATAAGATGACATAATGAGATTAAAACATATTGTTATTATTTATTTGCATTAGAAATTATCGATATTTTTTTAAAGAAAAAACTAACTCTAAATTTAAAAAATTAAGAAAAACGCAAAACACTTTCGACAGATCCACACATTTCCCAATTGTTTAACAGTTCCTAATAATTATATAAGGCTTCCCAGTAATAAGCCGCGACATCATTTCATCTCCGTGAGAATAGCAACCAACCAGGTGCACAAATAATTTTCTTTTTTTATTGCAGACGTCTCGTGAAGAGTTATCAACCGAAGAAGAAGGAGGAGGAGGATTATCAGTAAGTATATGAAGCTCATACATATATTCTCTCTCTTTTCTTCTCTTCTCGAGTTACCAGCCGATTTCAGATTCTCATCAAGTATATGTATATAAAACATCAAAGAGTAACAAACATATTCAAATTATCCAGTCTGGATGTAATTTATCCATCAATCCCGTGGGCGATTTCAATATATGTATGTATACACATATTCATTGCTCTTTGATATTTTGTATACAGACTCTATCTAAGATTGGTCGAGAACTTTGATAGGCGGAAATAGATAGGTACTATATCGTGACATACAAAAGTAATATCGAAACACACGAGTATCAAAACAACGTATCTCGTGTATGAATATTTCGTCGCTACGAAACTCTTCTATGCAGACTTTTTTAATTCGTTGCGAGTTCCGCGAAATCATAATTCATTAATTTTCTAACTCGGCGCATAGAATGCGTACCATGCTAATAATTAAGAACTTGCTTAGGTCAAGGTTCAAATAAGAATTGCGTAATTGAGGAAGCACAAAGTCGGAGGATTCAAGTTTGAAATGAAATCAAGTTTAATATGCACTTAAAAATCCGAGTCGAATCCAAGAATCAAGTTTTTAGGATTCGAAGAAATAATTATTTCATATATTGTACTTTTACGAAATAATCGAATCTAGAATAGTTTTATATTTGAATTTTAGATCGAGTACCTGCAAGGTTTGAAATAAGTATTATTAAAATTTCTAAGTACTTAAGTGCTATAAATACTATTTCAATAGAAAGTACTATTAAGTACTATTATAAATACTTATAATATTAGTACACAATATTAGTACTTATAATACAAGTACTTATAATATTATAATACTATAATTATATATATAAGTATCTAACAAGGGACATGTCACAACTGTCCGGAACCGATTTGATTCTCCTTGAAATATGTTGTTAAATACACAAATCTAAAAGACACGTATTTTTTTATACGTGCGCAATTTGAGTTTTAAGGGGTGAAACACCCCTTTAAAGAATAACGGTATTTTTCTTTAGGATCAAATATCTGCTAAACTATAAGAGATATAAAGAAAAAACGTACAACAAATTTTAATGGCTTGAAGAGTACTTTAAAGTTATATGAACAAAAATTTTTTTTTTTTTTTTTTTTTTTAAAAACCCTCACCACCTAATTTTTTTTTTCAAAATTAAAAATTTTGTTTTACCTAATTTAAAGCTTATTTTTTTCCAAATTCAACCATGTGTAATAAAGTTATGTTACGAAATATCATTTTCGAAAATTATTATAAACGCTCCCGTATATACGCTCATCCGTGCTATGTGCGTAAGTAATTACCGTCGAACAATAAAATATATAAAAAATGTTTTTGTATAATTCTTATTTGTTTTCTATGTATTTATAACTGCGTATTGTGTATATTTAGATTTAAAAAAAATTTTTAAATATAATTAATAGAATTTTTAATATACCCCCTGCTTTCTTATTATTTCTTTAATATTTAATTTCTTCTATAAAAATTAAAAACAATTATATTTTATAATAAAATTATTTTTTAATTGAATCTTGCGAATACCAATGTCGCAATATTTGGCATAAACAAATTTTATATCTTACGTTAAATGAATCATAATATAGATTATGTGTACGTGTTCCAGATAAGTTATAATTTTTACAATAAAATCTTTAATACGTTAAAATAAATAATAAAATAAGATTATGTGATGACGTATTTCTGATAAGTTAATATAAATTGTTCATGTAGCAGCATAATTCTCACAGTCGGTGTAGTCTTTTCGTTGTAATAATATCTGTGTAAACTGTTCTTTTATTGCAATAGAAAGCAAAATATAACATCTTTGAATATGATTATCAATCCGCTTAACGTTGTTAGACTTTTATTGGTGTCAATAAATTCAATATATTTAACAGAAACGCCAGTAACTGAAGCAGAAGTGGAATTAAAGGAAAACATTAAAAAAATATACTGGATAGCGTTTTTCATTATAATGGGGTGGAAGTAACGGAAGAAATATATCTCGATTATGAAGAACCTTATAAATTACATAGTTTTGAAATAATTGAAGATGACGAAGAAGCATGGCATGAAGATAGTTTTAAATTCTCATCCTCATTGTTCAAATGATGATACAAATTTTGATAGTTCTTATAAAGACGAGCTGTTGAGTATTGGCGATTTCGGGACACTGATGAAAACAGTAATGACAAAAAAGGAATCGTCCTCTAAGAGTAGTACAAAATAAATTTAGAAGAGTTTCATCTGAACGTCAGTTAAGGCGATGGGAAGAACAAATACAATCAGGTGGAAGTCGTACAGAAAAATTATCTTACATCTCCAAATTTACACATGATAAATTTACTGCAGCTGTCGAATCAGGATTCATGGTTCATGATATTGATTTAAAAGATGGGCTTTACAAGCTCAAGAAGAAATAGGAAATTTAAATCCTATATTTAAAGCATCTCACAGTTGGATAGCAAGATTTAAGAAGTCTCACCGAATTGTTTCAAGAAAAGTTACGAAGTTTGTCACTAGAAGAACATTAGAAGATTCTGCTGATTTGCAAAAATCAGCTGATGATTTTCTGGAAACAGTAAAACCTCTTATTGAACAGTTTGGATCTGAAAATATTTACAATTCAGATCAAAGTGGTTTCCAATTGGAACTTCACTCTGGAAGATCATTGTCTAACCAGGGAGAAAAGAAAGTAGAACGTGTCGTGCAATCCATATCATCAACAACCCATTCATATACGATACAACCAATAATATCCTGTAATGGCAATTTGTTGTCCCCTTTATTTATTGTATTAAAAGAAGCTAATGGTAAATTTGGACCAAGAGTACAAGAAAATTTATTTAAAGCAGAAAATGTTATTGTAAAAGCATCGAAATCTGGTAAAATGACATCAGGTATTTTCCTTTTATAATTACTTTTTTTAACAACCTTATTTTATTTAACAATTTAATAAGAGTCATAAAAAAACTATTAAATTAACATTTATATTTTGTACAGATCATTTTAAAATGTGGTTAGAAGAAGCTTATTTCGCAAACATTGGTCCTAATAGCGTTCTTCTTATCGATTCATGGACTGGACATTGCCCCAATATGATTTCGGATTTAACACCTCCTGGAACACATATTACTACTATGATAATACCGAAAGGAACTACAGGGAAAATACAACCATTAGATGTTTATGGATTCAGAATTTGGAAAAATTTTGCTAAAAGATTTTCAGATGCGGTTTTACTGTTGGAAAGTAATATAAACTTACATGAACGAAATAATATATAAAAATTGCAATCTTTGATACATAATCAATTGTCATCCCCACGATATCAAACTTATTTAAATATTCGTGGTTTAAAAGTGGTTATACGAATGAAAGACCAGACGAATTCGAAATCCAGTACACTTTAGTTTAGACGAAACTTTAACAAAATGTGATATCGAAGGTTGCAATAATATAGCTGTAGTAAGATGTTCTTGGTGCAAGAAGTCATTATGTTTGAAACATTTTTTTGTCGAATATCATTATTGTAATGTGTATAATGAGTGAATAATATAAATGCAAATACATTTTTAAAAAATCTAAATATACACAATACACATTTATAAATAATAGAAACATAAATAAGAATTATACAAAAACATTTTTTATATATTTTATTGTTCGACGGTAATTACTTACACGCACATAGCACGGATGAGCGTATATACGGGAGCGTTTATAATTAATTTTCGAAAATGATATTTCGTAACATAACTTTATTACACATGGTTGAATTTGGAAAAAATAAGCTTTAAATTAGGTAAAACAAAATTTTTAATTTTGAAAAAAAAAAATTAGGTGGTGGTGAGGGTTTTTTAAAAAAAAAAAAAAAAAAAAAAATTTTTGTTCATATAACTTTAAAGTACTCTTCAAGCCATTAAAATTTGTTGTACGTTTTTTCTTTATATCTCTTATAGTTTAGCAGATATTTGATCCTAAAGAAAAATACCGTTATTCTTTAAAGGGGTGTTTCACCCTTAAAACTCAATTGCGCACGTATAAAAAAATACGTTCCTTTAGATTTGTGTATTTAACAACATATTTCAAGGAGAATCAAATCGGTCCGGACAGTTGTGACATGTCCCTGTAAGTACTATTTCAATAGAAAGTATCATTAGGAACTAGTAGAAGAGTTAAATACTTTCTACCGTAAAGAGAATCGAATCTTTAACAAATGGTACTCAAACTCTAAAATAAAAATGCATGATATTTTCTACATATACATAATGTAAAATTTCTCATATGTACTCATAAAAAATTTGAATATATTTGATCCAGGTTCGAATATACTTGAAAGTACTGCTTTTGTTTGCATCTTTGAGATACTTCTAAAGAGTTTGAATCTATCTAGGTTTGAGTCTACTTGACTGTACTAGTTTTTTTTTCTCTCGAAATAACTATAGAGTTTCGAGAGAAACCATGTAACCAATTCGAACCTACTTCTAAGTTACCTAGAAAGAAAATAAGAGCAGCCTCATTATTTAGTGTGGGAGGAATACTTTATAAATTCAATAACTTTGCAAGACCCCTCCAAGTCACGTCCTTGCCCAGCACATGTCATGTGATACTACTAATCGACGTGGGTGGAGATTTAGGCTTCTCAGCTTCTTAGATTTTATGTTTTGGATCGGGAATTATTTTTTCCCTCTATGCGCAACGATTACGTTCAATTAACGCGGAAACACAATTATGTTAAACTCGGCCAGTGTTATCTATTCGATTTATCTATAATTAAGATAACCGTTTGCATGCATATACATGAAATGCAAATCCACATATAGGCTAGCTAAGTGAACATTTCTTTGCATGTTAAGCGATACAAGGAAATCTAGCGATTAAAAGGCGGTAGGAAGCAAATTCTTAAACAAACAAAATGCAGGACAAAGTTAAGAAAATAAGAAACCAATCTAAATATATCTAAATATACTAATTATAATCAGTCTAAATACACCAATCGATAAAATAGAGAAAAAATAGAGATTTGAAATAAAAAAATGTGGAGACATAAATGGAAGACGAAGAAGGAGAAATGAAACCTGTACGTTCTTTTCCTCAGGTACAGTCCTTGTCGGGCGTTCAAGCTGGAGCTGAACGAGGTGAACGACCAGGCCGGCCAGCGGGAGCTGATCGCAGAGAACCTCCAGGCTAATGTCCTGCGAGAACTCAATATTTTGGTGAAGGACTTCAAGGAGGATCGCAAAAAACATCTGCAGGAGGGCGCCAGACTGATGGCTACCCTGGCTGGCCAGATCGGGAACCTGGAACGGGCGAGGAAGGCCTACGAGAAGGCTTTCCGGGAAGCGGAACGCGCTGTGGAAAATTATCAGCGAGCGGACGCGGATCTCAATCTGTCAAGAGCAGAGGTAACAAGATTTTCTGTCCTCGAACCTCCTTTTCACGATTTTTTCTGAAAGCAGACTTCATCTTTGGAGGAATCCCAGAAAAACTTGAAGAGTTTAAGGCTTCTGGCTCCTCGCCGACCATGTGACGTCAGAGGCGAGAAAACGCACGCTAAAAATTCTTAGATGCCATTTTAAGTACTTATATAAGTACTTATATACTTAATAATAACTTACGTACTTATAATAATACTATATAAGTACTTATATACTTAAGTACTTATATAAGTACTTAAGTACTTTTGTTACTATTAGTACTTATATGACAATTTAATACTGTAATATATAATTATAAAGTACTTATAAGTACTATTTTAATAGAAAGTATTATTAAGTGCTATTATAAGTATTTAAGTACTTATATTAAGTTATTTATAATATTATAATACTATAATTATAAGTATTATAAGTATATCCATTTTATAATAAAGATATTTTGATGAAACAACAGATAGAAACACGATAGATTTAGCATATTCTTAAAATACCTCGAAAATTATTACTCTTTATAATCAATCAACAGCTGTAAAATGCCCAATCTGTCTGGTCTTTACGCATGCACAGTCATTCCGCATGACAAAGTCTGATATCACGATTATTTCACGTTTATTGATTGATTGTCAAGGAGGAAGAATAATTTTCGAGGTATTTTGAAAGTGTGCTAAAGCCGCTTGAAATAGTATATATATATAGATATAGATAGATAGATAGATAGATAGATAGATAGATATTTTATTGAAATATCTTTATTTAAAATATCTAAGAATTTTCAGCACTTGTGCTTTCTCGCCTCTGACGTCACAATCTAACATGGCTGCGGCGAGAACGCAGGGGCCTTAATAATAATTTTTTATAACGAGAGCATATATATGAAATCTTGAGGAATTTTTTTTTATAAAGATGAGTGTCAAAGTGTTATTAAAAATTATATTAATAAGGATATATTCTTTATGTTGGCGCTTGATAATAATGATCGATTCCTTCGCGATGATCAGGTGGAGAAGCAGAGGATGAATATGACCATGAAGACTCAGCAGAGCGAGGAGGCGAAAACGGAGTACGCGAATCAACTGCAAAAAACGAATGACATGCAGACGCAACACTACCACACGGCGATGCCGGAAGTGTTTCAGCATCTTCAGGTACTGTTTTGTCATAACTGTACGCAATTGCGTCCGTGGTTTTTTCTCTGTTACGCTTTATTATATCTTGTCTGTATTTTGCCATGATATTAATTATTTTAAAAAATATTCTTTATATCATTTCTTCATGTATTTTTTTATTATTGAATAAGGAAATGTTTCAAGAACACTGTCTGTTATTAATTATATATTTGACAGACTTGAAAATATAGATTTTTCAATATATTAGTTTTTTAATTATACAAATTATTTATAATTGTTTTGACTGTTCAGTCTTCTCAAGAGAGCTAATCAATTCTCATTTAAATTTAAATAGATAATATTTTATTATTTTATTTAATAGTAGATAATAATTTATTTTAAACTATTCTTAATTTATATATGATTTAGAAAGAACTATTAATTTGTTAATATATTAATATATTAATTAATTAATTAATTAATTAATTAATTAATCAATTAATTCATAATTTAATATAATTTATTATATAATAAAATTAAGTATAATTTTTATCAAATAATATAAATGTTTTCATCGGAGAAAAATGATGGCACTCTGCCATTCAGGCCAGAAGTGGTCTTAGCTTTATTGATCCTTGCATTTCTCAGTTCAGTTGATCGTCCTACATACGTGACATTTTTGCCTGCAGGAGTTGGACGAGAAGAGGATAAAGAATATGCGGAACTACATGATGAAGTCGGTGGAAATCGAGCGGGCGGTCGCGCCGATAATCGCTCAGTGCCTGGACGGTATCGAGAAGGCGGCGAACGAGATCAACGAGAAGGAGGACACGATGCTGGTGATCGAGCGTTACAAGAGCGGCTTCCAGCCGCCCGGGGATTTTCCCTTCGAGGATCTGTCGGTCGCGAAGAACTACGATAGCAACAGCCAGCTGGCCCAGCCTGTCATGCAGCCGATTCACAATCATCTTACGGTGAAGGGCACCGTTTCCGGTGGCAAAATTAAGAAGAGAGTCGGCCTCTTCGGCATCTTTAGCAGCAATAAGGTAGATATCCCTTCGCGTCTCTTCTTGGATCGCGAGATCTCGAATGGCATAGGATGTCCTGAAAAGAAAGAACGGCAATAATATAGCAAGTCAGGCTGGAACGTCCTTGATATTTATTAAGAGATATAAGCATATCTTTTGGAATATGGATATCCTGTGTTCGCGTTATCTTTAATTTTGAAGTCGTGGAGTCTGGGCGATATTTCACAATAATTTTTTTTATAGAATTACATTTGTTAATATATTAATATTATATTAATAATTTAATTGATTAATTTAATATAATTTATTAAATTAATAATTCATAGTTATACAGTTTTAAATTTTCCTAGAAAATCCTGAGAAATAATTTGATTATTTTTACAATTATGGAAGCCTAGAACTTGCACGACTCCAAAGAGAGAAGAGCTAATATTATAATCTACCTATTCATTGCATTCTCGAAGAGAAAAGGATAAACAGGAAATATTGCATAAATATTATTTATAGTGCATGCCCCAAAATTCTTCGAAATTCATTTTCCTATTTTTCCATTATTTATATTTTAATTTATATATATATATATATATATATATATATATATATATATAATACTTGTGCACCTCTTTTATTCGCCGATAGGCCTGCAATTTATTTTTTTTTTTTTTTTACGCACTCGAATTTCTATTGCGCATGTATATTTAGATTCCGCATTCTTTGAATTTTATGATTACTCGAAGCAATTCTCAAATTATTATTTATAAAGCGGATTTTCTCGCCTCTTGTTACTTTCTAAGCGCTTTGCGATATAATAGAATTCTCTTCGTCGAAATACCTCTATATTGAAATAATGAAGTCATATAAGTTTGATGATAAAGCGAGTTGAAAAAACAAACTCTTAACGATAGTTCAAGGTTTAATTAAGGAAAATGATTGTGTTCAGTTTCTGCTAATATAAAAAGATGAACACAACAAAATACATTAATGTAATTATTTTATATGATTTATTATAAATAATTATGTACATACTATAATTTATAAATAATTATATATAAAAGGTGTCCGAAAAGTCCTCCAACATGTCAAATATCTCGAAAACAAAGGTTTTTTGAAAAAAAATGTGCAGAATTTTTGGGACATTCTGTATATAATATTACTTTTAAATTTTTCTATTCTGAAAGTCGAAATATTTTTCAAATTTGTTTTAATTTCTAGATAAATTGATCAAAAGTAATAATAAATATATATAAGAATCGCGAATGAATTGAATTCAATTGTATCTTTCCTTAGTTTTGTACGATTTTTTGACTTACGATTCGCAATCATTTTTTCTCGCTCTCATAACGAAAAACGCGTAATTTATTTTTCTTGTATACTTTCTATTAATTTGGTGGATGGTTCAATCTGCCCGTGGTCTTCTTGTTTCCAAAACATCACGGGCTATGAATTGGGATATTATCACATTTAGTAAGTACTCTGTAGACCGCTTATTTGCTCCCGCAATTCTTTCAATAATATCGAAAACACCCGTCTTTCTCTCTCACTCTCTCTTAAACATAAATTTTATGCGACGTTGTTAAAGTGTCTTGTAAAAGAGCGTGAACTCAGCGATAACTCGTTAATCTTAATCACTATAAGGCTATAATTAATTGTACAAAATGTTACATATTAGAATTAATTACATTGTTATTGTCTAACTGAATTAAGGCTCCTAAGTCCTCGCCACGCTCATGTTAGATTATGACGTCACAATCTGCGAAGAGTCAAGAACCTTAATTTATATTAAAATTAAATGTCTATAATATTAATAATTATTAGCGTAATATTAATTAATTTAATATTAATTAATTTTAATGTAATTATTTAATATTAATTTTATATTATTATTTATACCTGGAGCTTTATATATTAGATTTTTTAAATATGAGATGATAAGTGCATTTTTAATTTATATTAAAATGAAATTTATATAATATTAATTATTAACGAAATATTAATTAATTTAATATTAATTATTAAATATATCTGAAGCTTCATGTATTAGATTTGTTAAATACGAAATGATAAGTGCATTTTTCTTTTCCTTAGTATTCTTTCTTTGTATACTGTGATGTAATTAAAATATCCTATACTGTTTATATGTTTAACGTTTCCGAAATGACGTTTCTCTGAGATCACGCTCCCGCTATTGCTATATAAGTGCGTAAATCCTGACTCATTCGCTGAATGATGTGATCGCTTTTGGGATTTGTTTCATGCGAACAGCAGAAGTTGATCGAGGTGTGCATAGCTTTAAAGGTCTGTCCTCCTTTATTCAATGGCCAAGTCACTTTTCCGATTAATCCTTTTGGTGCTTTTGCTGAACGCTTACAAGTGCTCAACTTGCTCGTCTTCTTTATCCTTTATAATACAGTAGTAAATAAGTTGATCCCTCCCTCAGGTGATTGCTTCTTCTTTATGAGAATAGAATTATATTAACCAATTTGATTATTTGTATTTTACAATTTAATTATTAGTAGAAAATTAAATTGACAGAAAATCCTTGCATCTGTGAAATTTGCAAAGTTAAAATTACATTAAATTTTTATTATTTACTAACTGCCCCTTTTCCCTCCAAATCTTTTAGCACCAAAAGGGTTAGCTGCTATTTCTACTTTAGAAATTTTATTATTTTTTTCTGTTATAGAGCAGAGAATACATTTTATTCGTCATTTTATCCATCATTGCTTAGAACAATAAATAATGGAATTATTTATATATATAAATTTATTATATATATATTATATATGCTAGCTTTCACTAACAAAGATTGCAGATCTTTAACAAAATGTGTTCCCAAGCTTTCTTATCTTTCCTTTTGTTCCTTCTTGAGACCCACGTAACATAATGTATTCACATTACAATTAAATATAATTTTACAGAGCGTTCTTCTGCGTTATAATTTTGTCAAATATTATATAATTTAATATTAAGTTGAAAAATTAAGTAAATTATTAATAAGACTCCTAGCTCCTCGCCTATGTTGGAATTGTGACATCAGAGACGAGAAATGAAAAGATCTGACGTCACAATCCAACATGGTGCGGAGACTCAGAAGTCTTAAAGTGAATTTTATAATCTTTTACTGAATTACTGATTTTTTTCAAGAACTTTTTTTATTATTTAAGTTGTATTAATTAATTTGGACACTTTAATAATTAATATGACAATTAATTTATTTTAAATAATTATTATTTAATAATATTTAAATATATTTAATATATTTAATATATCTAATATATTTAATAATTATATTTATATTATTAAATAATTTGGATAGTACTGTAAAAAAATTGGCTGCGAAAGGTTTCTTCGGGGTCTCAGGAAGAGATTTTATTGGTATAATTAAATAAGGCTCTCTTCGAAGGAATCAACGTACTTATCATGATAAATTCCAGAACAATGTGCCTGGCTATGGTGACGGGGCGAAGGAGGACTGCAGCGATCTGCCGCCGAATCAGCGGAAGAAGCGACTTCAGCAACGACTGGACGAGATCCAGGCGAAGATCCAGCAGGAGACGGCGGCCAGGGACGGTCTGATGAAGATGAAGGGTGTCTACGAGCAGAATCCCGCCCTCGGGGATCCGATGAGCATAGAGGGACAGTTGAACCAGTCCAGCAACAAACTGGACAAGCTCGGAGCTGAATTGGCAAAGTTTCAAGGCTACCTCGAAGAAGCGATGCGCGCCGGCGTCAGTTTGTCTAGGTAAATGAGGGGCTCTCTTGAAACTGAAGATGAAATGTCTACGTTGCTATTTATCTCATTTATTTATTTGTCATACGACCTTTATCATACTTAAAGTGATAAGTATGTTCAAAGAATTTTCTGTACGTGTTTTAATTTTTTATGTAATTATAACAAAGTGTCTCTCTTTACGTTATTGTAAAATATGTCATTATATCGTATATACAATATGATGTAATAATAAAATATTTATGTACGATATAATAATATAATATTTTACAGTAACGTAGAGAGAAATATTTCTCTCTGCGTTATTGTGTAAAAAAAATTTAAATATCATATAATTTAATATTTTACATATATAATATTACATGATTTAATATTTTATACAATATAATAAATATTATATATAAAAGTGCAAATTGGATAGAAATAAAAATGAGTGAAAAAAAAAATTAAATAAAAAGATTGGCATTTTTTATAGCTTGTTTGTGTTTTTCAGCCCAAGCCAGGCACCGCGAAAAACTACCAACGGCTCGGCGACGAGGCCGTTGAGTTCACGAAGAGGATCACACTCGGGCGGCGAGGAGAGCCTTTCGAGATCCGCGTCTGATTCGAGTGTCAGTAACGCGAACGCAAATCAACCGGTTCATAAAAAGAGTGCGCCAGGCACCCCACAACCGACTCATGGGTAAGCTATCTTGTAAAATACACGAGATGAGTCTATAACGCGTACAGATTCAATCATACATTTGGAAAGTCTCGAAACTTTGAAAATCTTCAATATTTCAATTCACAAATTAGTTCTATCATTGTGTGGTATCGTCGTTTTATCGCAATAATCGGATATTTTTATTATTGCTTGCTCTGTGTAAACACGCATACACACATGCATACATATGTACACATTTTATTTAAATTTATATTTTTTTATATATTCTGTTATTATTTTATAATATAAATCGCGTTGATAAATCCAGAAATATCCTAATACTTTCTTCACCTTTTATTTAATCGCTCTTATCTAATTGAAGCTAATAAGCATAAATAATGGAGATAAAACAAAGGTGTGTCACGTGAGTTATTGTCGTTTTATCTACATTAAATAATAATAATAATGTGACGAATGTGGAGTCTCTTATCGCACTCTGTCATTCGCATTCATTCAAATCGAACCACTCAATCTCTGGTCAATTGTTTTTTTTCTTTCATTCTGCAAAAATATTTAGTTTTGATTTGAGTAAATTAGACACTTTACACTAGACGAATAGCCACGAATTTTTCGCTTTACGGTACTGATGCACAGTTCCACGAATAGCCCGGAATCTGGTCTCGGCGAGTCGAGAACGTCGCTACCTGGCAGCGGTTGCGAGGAATATTACCCGGACGAGGTGGACGCTCAGCCGCCACTGGGGACATGTCGGGCGCTTTATCCTTTCGATGGTAAAATCTATGGACCGAGATTTATGGATCTATGTATAGTTCAAAAATATTGACATTGGCAATGGGATTAAGTATCTTACAAATAGATTTAAATTTGCTTGAATAGTTCTAAATTTTCTATGAATACCTTTAAAAAAAGTTTAAGTATCGAACCTGGATCAAGATGTTCTATGAGTACTTATAGGATAAATGGATGTATAAATGTTATCAATAGATTTTTTATCTTAAAGTTTATATACCACTTGTAAAAGATTCGATTTTTTATGGTAGAAAGTACTATTAAGAAATAGAGAACACTATTAAGTACTTATAATAATATTCAATAATACTTTTTATTGAAACTTTTAAGTATTTAATAGTACTTATACGTACTTAAATACTCATAAGTATTAAGTAATATTTAGTTAAGTACTATTCCCTTATAAAAATGTATTACTAGTAACGCCGATTTATCACTTATTTCGAGTACTTAATCACTTATTTTGAGTACTTAAATTACTGTATATTAGTATTTATAATATTTATAATATCAGTATACATAATAGTAAGTACTATTATATATTTAAGTACTTATAAGTAATATATACTATTATACATATACTATTAAGTATTTATAATAGTACTGAATAATACTTTCTATCGAAATAAAATTTATATAATCTTACCATTTATTATATAATTATTTGATAGAAAGTACTATTAAGAAATAGAAAATACTATTAAGTACTTATAATAATATTCAACAGTACTTTTTATTGAAATAGTACTTTTAAGTATTTAATAGTACTTATAAGTACTTAAATACTCATAAGTAATAAGTACTATTTAGTAAGTACTCTATTATATATTTAAGTACTTATAAGTAATATATACTATTATACATATACTTATAATAATACTTAATAATACTTTCTATCGAAATAGAATTTATATAATCTTATATCCCATTTCTAATTAACATATATTATTCTTTTTCCATATATAACAATTTTGTAAAAATAAAATTTAAAAAATGTGCAATTTATAAGAAAAGCAAAAAAATTACTTTATCCTTCTATCATCCGTAACTAACTAATAACTATTTTAATTATTATTTACAGCGACCAGCGAGGGTTCTATACCGATGTATGACGGCGAGGAGCTGTACATGATTGAATTAGATCAGGGAGACGGGTGGACTAGAGTGCGACGCATTTCGCAGCCAATTGAGGGCTTTGTGCCGACCTCGTACATAGAGTGTCATCTGTACAACACTTAGCCGCTTCTCCTAAGTTGTTAAAAGAAAATTACGGAACGCGAAATTAGGAGATTATTAAGGAAGGAGATTATTAATCGAAGACGGTGCGCGAGATTCGTTCAGTGCCGTTGAAGACTCTAAGGTAAAATGTGTTGGTCGAATTAACATATGGGGATGTCGGTGACAGATCGCAGGCCTAATCGAAAAGGACGGGCAAGAAGAGAAGAAGATAAAAGAATCCCTAAAAATGTATTCAAACAAATTTTTGGACCGAACTGCGTGGAGAACCAAGAAATGTGGGCGAACAAGTCAAATGTACGCCCTATTGACATTTCAGCGAATCCCAGGATTTACGAATCCGAGAATAGAACCCCCAGAATTCGCCGAATTGAATCATCGCATGCCAATAATGTTCTCTCGGCGAAGTCACGTGAATTATACTCTTCATACACCTTCCTTTCGAAGAATGAAAGGACATACGCGAACAAATACACCCCGCTTTGTGATCAATCAATCTAAGCGTAATAGACGTTAGAATCGAGCTCATTCTCTTGGGCTTTATATATATATATATATATATATATATATATATATATAGGTCTTTAAAAAAAAAGTTTCGCCCTTATCCGGATTTATCTAGGGTGCCCGCGGCCCTTTCTCATGTACGAAGCTATTAAAATAATAATAGTTTGTTAAAATAATAATTATACTCTAAGCGATTATTTGTTGAATAGGTATTATTATTATAGGTGATAGCGAATGTATTATTTAAAGTTACACTCGACTATGTTTTTGTCCTAATCTCTCGTACGACTTTGTTAAAGGGACTCGCGGCGGTGATCTTCAGCCTTTTTCGAATTTGGAAATTATAAGTTGACATTAAAATGGCTGTTAATTATTAATTATTAATTACGAATGCTTGAATACGTCTGTTATTATTATTATTATTTATCCCGGGAAAAAAATTGTGCGCGATAACACACTTCGCATTTTTTATTTTTTACGCTCAATTCAGACGTATTATTAATTTTTATCGATAATAGTAATTATTAACCTCGAAAGTTTTTTTTTAATTTAGAAATACTGTATTATCTCGCAGACTGTGTACTCTATGTTTTATTCTGTGTAAATAAACCTTTTTATTTTAAAATAATAGTCTTGTACGGAAGGGCTTGCGGTAGCTCAAAGTCTCCCCCCAAAAGTCAATTTACGGCAGGAATCGGAATCCAGGTAAGGGTCGAATTTATATATCTGTACGATAAAACGTTATGTTCAATTATATACATATATATATAAACTCAACTTGTACACAACTTGTGAGACTTTTTAATCCTTAAGCAAATGCACACGAGTGAAGATAAGAGAGTGAGAGAGAGAGAGAGAGAGGGAGTAGAACAATTAATTATAATAGATTATTTTATTTAAAATCGCAAGTGAATCGAGAAATCGAGTGACGAAACTATATAGTGCAATATTCTGATTAGAAACTTTGAAGACTCTTGGAATCGCTTCAGAATTAAATGCGCCTGCTTGAAGATTAAATCGCCAAGTCTCTTCTGAAGACATCATCTTCATCGACTTTATTGATGAATTATCTTTATCGCGATGGTGTCTTCTTCTCATGTAGCACGAAGAACAAAGACATTTCAACGTTGAAGAAAGTAGCCGGCTTAGTAATAATAATAATTGCGCCTCGCCTACTCGTCACTCGTAAATTAATCATCATGACTGTAATCTGTAATCGTTGCTGCACTGAGAGGAAAAGAGAAAAATGTTTTATCGTAATTTTTTTTTCTTCAACTCTACTCGCGCAAGAAACGACCAACTGTGTGTTTCATGACTCGCTGAAAGTACTTGAAGTAGCTAAAAGTATACTTAAAAAAATATATGTAAAATAAATTTGCTTAATTTTTTTTTTTTTTTTTTTTTTTTTTTTTAATTGTGGCATTAAAAATTTAAGAATCGCAGAAATTATAGAAGCCAACCTTTACATATAATAGATAAATAAACGATTTATATAAAATCGTATATCTCCAGTTTTTGACATCGAGAATTGCTGACAGATTTTCGATCGAGATTTAACGATCGGTGAATTTATGGCATCTAGAATTTATGAGATTTCTATAAAGTAAAATTTAGTAAAAAATTCTGTAAAATTTAGATTTAAAAAAATATGCCAGAATTTACGAAATCGAGATTTTTTCAAAGTTAAGAATCCTCTTAAAAAATATGTCAATTCAAATCTTTAAATTCAAAGATCTATGGGTGGAAGATATTGACTTATTTATAAAAACACGAGGCATATATAATCAAGAATTAACGATAAGACGTATAAAGAGTTGATTTTGCGAAAAGTGGATCGTTCCAGTAGGTCGATAATATAAAGACGCGTTTAAAGAGTTGCCTGAATGTGAATTTAGCGATAGTTATTAATATGTAAATATCGTCAGAAAAAGAGAGTGAGAGACGAGTGCCAGAATCGATATTAAATTAGGGGAGGGGGTTTGTTTTTTTGTTGCGGACATAGATTTTGATTTTTAAAATTCCACTGATGTAATATGTCGGTTTTTTTTAATTGTTAGAAAAAATCGTTTGCAAAAAAATATAGACATTGATTTAACAATTTCATATATTTTTTAGATTATTGAAAGATGTAATATCCCAAAGTAGCAAACTGTCGTCATTAAACATCAAAATGACGTCATTTTGACTTTTAATGACGTCAATTTGACATCTAATGACGTATCTGGGATTACTTGTTAATTTGTCGTTTTATTGTTACTTTGACATTTTTTAAATATACTAGATATTAATTAAAACGAAATGGATTATTTGTAAAAAAACTTGAGCCTTGAGATTCACGTATATATCTTAAAAGAGAAGAGTCCGCGATTGCAAGAACCTGTTGTCCTTAATTTTGTGAAATCCAGAAATCGTATATAGCCGTATTTTCTTGCGCATTTTGAATGTATATGTATATATTATATATATATATAAATAATTATATATATATTCTCGATCATCACAGAGGAAGGGCGTAGCTTCATTATACGCAGATACATAAAAGTACACGTATATGTGTGTATATATATATATATATATATATATATATATATATATATATATGTATGTATATAAACGATCAAATTTACTCTCGAAATCGTCTTGTGTCTTTCTTTGTCCCGTTATATCGTTTATCGCGGTTGCTTCCGGTTCGTTTTAATGGCGAAGACAAGGAAAATTACGTTTTATAAGACGAAAATATAACGGGTCGTCGCTTCGATGTTTAACACTTCGTGTTCGTTCTATATGTATATTTTGTGATTTTTCTTTTCTATACGCGAACAATAAGTATTGTGTAGATAATTATCTGCGACTCATTATATTATTATATATTATTATTTTTATTATTACTATATTATTATCATTATTGCTATTGAAAAAAATATAGGTACTAAACCAATATATCTGTTTCAGACACGTTCATGTGGCTAATATTTGCGCCTCTTGTATCCACAATCCCTTTATTAAGGCTCCTCACCGACCGGAATTGTGACGTCAGGGACAAGAAAACACGCCAAAAAATCTTGTAGTTTTATTTTTTATTAATTATAAATTATAAATTATATTTTATAAATAGTTTTTCATTTAAAAATGACATCTAAAGAATTTTTAGCTTGTGTTTCCTCGTCTCTGACGTCACAATCTGACATGACCGCGAGAATCCAGGAGTCTTAATATTTTTATTGTAAAGAAGCCATTGATTGACGCAATCAAAGGCTAAATAGTTTGTTTGAAGTATATAATCAGAGATATATAAAAAAAGCAAGAGATTATTTTATTGGATACTTGTTTGATTTTAATTGTAAAAAAATTTGCATTCTTTATTAATAAATTGTTATATATATATATATATATATATATATATATATAATGTGTGTATATATATATATATATATATGTATGATATATCAAAATTGGCTCGTAATCTTTTTTTCAGCTGTTTATTTCGTATATATAATACAGAATGTCATAAATTTATATATATCTGTCTAAAATTCTTTATCTGATTAAAATCATTTTCAGTTTCTATTTGATCAAAATTATATATATTGTACAATAAAAATTTATAACAATTAATACATATCGAGCATTGTGATATAAAATATACATTCAACAAGAATAGAATTTAGTGCTGATATAATTCTTGGACGATGCGAGTCCTTTTTTGGTGAGAATACAATTATGAAACTTAAGATACAAATAATAATTGCAATATAATAATAATTAGGATACAATAGACTAGGAAAATATTTCTTGTGAAATACGATTTAAAAAATGCGCTCTCGTGCTTTTCGTGTTATTGTTTTTCGTTATGTTATAACGTTATATTTACGACACGATAATTTTATAAATTACGTTTTCGCAATTTAAATATGTTGAGAATCAAGAATTCATAAATTTTAAAAATTCATAAAATTATTGAAGCTAAAATAATATAGATAAATTCGAGGATCAACAAAACTATATGTGTTTGTGAATCTCGAGACCCGTATTCATTATTCAAGAAGAAATTGACTAGATCAAAAGTACAGAGAGAATAAAAGCAAAAATTTTGCATTATAAATACGTATATAAGTATGTAAAATGCGTTCAATTTCGAGAAAATATTTGCAAATCTATGTTTTTTATTCAGAAGACATTCTGTATCCAAACGCTAAAAAATACATATCTAGTCGTATTTCTGTCATTTTTCCCAAGTAGCCAACTGACGTCATTAGATGTCAAAATGACGTCATAGATATTTTTGACGTCTAATGACGTTAGTTTGTCAAATACTTGGGTTGTTATCAACACTTTGTACTCGAGATATATAAAACTCGATATTCTATTTGAACGTCATGAAAAATACGCGAGGTATATTTATTAATCCTTTCACACCCGAGTTATATGAATATGTATAAAACGTAAATTATATAACACGTTCTTAGAACGAAGAAGCACGCAATTTTCTTCATTTTTGCAATACTTCGTTATATATTTTATGAATATATGCGCAATAATATATCACCGTATGTGTAAAATTATGACATCTTTCCCGTTATATCCCCATTATATGATGCTTGAGTGCAAAATGTTATGTTAGAGAGAGAGACCGAACTGCGCAATGTATATAACTATATATAAATCGGCAGTCTCCCCAAAAAATTCGAAGTGTTTCCTTAAACATTTCTTCAACCTTTTTAAGCCTCGAGGATCCGAAACTTCAAGTTTTTACAAATCGCATGCTAAAAAAACTTCAAGGATTTGAGCAAATCCGAAGAGATTTGACGTTCAAGAATTCGAAGTTTTAGATACTCTGTGATCTCCACGTATAAGTCATCCAAGAATCCAAAAATTCTTGAATCTCTAATAATCGAAAAATATACACAGGATGTCTCATTTTAATCTTAATAGATAAATATTTGAAAATCAAAAGATTTTAGAAAAAATATATTAGGTAAGAGATGTAAGATTTCGAGGGGGGCATAATATCGTGACCTAGAATTGTCTTTGGATGACGTTTTTTAAGGTCAATCTAGTTTTTTTTTAAATGGAACTACTCTTAATTTTTTTATATAAATTGATTCCTCTCAATATTCGGCATAAAAAGTTATAAAGATAGAATAATAGTCAAAAAATGAATAGTTTATAAGATATTTTATACTCTATGATTTTACATGAATTATGAAATATTTCGTAAAATATTTATTTTTCGAATTTTTAATATCTGATCTCAATACTATTATATACACAAAATAATGAGAGGAATCAATTGATTAAAATACAGTTATTTAAAAAAAAAGAATATAATTTGAAACTAACAGAGCTATCATGTATATATTATTAAAATCGGACATTCTGCATATTTAAGCATCACAATGGAGTCGCTGCCTCGTATCGCGATAAAAATCTAAAAATTCACGCAGTATAAAAGAAACACGAAGGATAGATCGATCTCGATCTACATTAATTAAATACATACAATAAATTGCTAGTGACATTTACAAAAAAGTACACAAATCGGATCGCTTCGATTTAGGATCCACGACGTGTCTGTATTCTGTTGTCACTCTCAATATAGAGACAAAACTCATCTGTACAAAATATATATCGATTCTACTTCTACTTCTGGCGAAGTCTTGAGCAATCTTCGTCGAGGGTCGGGAGACGCGATTTAATTAGACGTTCAGGTCTTCCCAATCCTCGATCTGCCGAGGACTAAGTTCGATTCTGATCCCAGTCAGAGTGCCCAGGAGATCGTGCAATCTAGGAGGTAAAGGATTCGCCTGCAGGTCGACAAACTCCAGAACAGGAGCGTGCCTGAGCCTTTCGACGTCGACGTCTGCGAAATCAATGAAATATACATATTTAGAGATTTTCATATTTTTAAATATATTTTATTTGAAATATTAAAATTATTATTTAAAAAATATTTTTTAAATATATATTTAAATTATGAATATATTTATAATATGAAAATACAAAAAAAAGCTAGTTTTTTAGGTATTCTGGAAATTATTCTATAGTTTCTATTTTTTATTCTTTTATTGTCTCTTCATCTCTTCTATTTCTTTTTATTTTTCTTATTTTTTATTCCCATTATCTCTTTTCCTATTTTTTATTTTTCTTATTTTTTATTTATTGAACGACGGAAATTAATTATAGTTTTCATTCTAAGATATTCCTTAACTTTTAATGCTGTGTTTCTAATCAGCACTATAATATTGTAAAAAATATATCTAAACAAATGAAGAAGCTGTTATTTATCAATAAAACATTATTTTTGCGCACCCTTTTCTCTTTATTGGTTGAATAGAATAATAGATGTTTTTCCACGATTAAAGTGCATAAATAGAAACAAAACGCGAACCTACCGATTTTATGTTAAAAACAAAAAAATTTTTCTTAAATTAAAAAATTAAAAAATTTTCGCACAAAAAATTTGCATAAAAATGATGTTTTATCAAGTGTTGAGTGTCAGAGTGATTGCCTACTGACAGGAGATCCTAGGACCTAGTAGGCTCCAAAATATTTCCCTTTTTAATACAATCTAATAAATCGGACCTTTTCAAATAATGAGAATTTACGCATCATGAGAAACACAATTTCTGATTATCTTCTTGATGAAAGTCTCTTGCGTAATGATAAATTGGTCGATACTGACCAATAATAAAATTGTTCTGATGATATTCTTGATGGAAATCTCTTACGTAATGATATAAATTGATCGATACTGACCTATAATAAAATTGTTGTTGGCTAGGAGCCGTTTGAGTTGCGGTATCCGCCAAGCGACAGGTGGCAGAGCAATGAAGGTGTTGTGCGAAATATCGAGTCTCTCCAGTGCCTGAAGCTCGGCCAGCTCTTCCGGCAACTTGCTCATTTGGTTGTGACTCAGATTTAGTTCTGTGAACAATATACGGTTTTGTTAAGGGCCGATTGTTCCAACTTAATCCAAATAGTACATATGTCCAAAATTAGTGCATAAGAGGTTTGTTCTTTATTGCTGCACTGATGAACTAGTGCATACTAGTGCAATAAGTTAGAGTAAAACAAAATATACTTATCTTACTTTAACTTATTGCACTAGTGTGCACTAGTTCATCAGTACAGCAATAAAGAACAAACCCAAGACATCATTAAGAAATCATTAAAGGTCTGTTCCTTTTGGCTGAACTGGTTGCACTAGTTCAGAGTTTATCTTTAGGTCTGTTCTTTTTGGCTGAACTAGCTGCACTACTTCAGATGAATTTATCTCTTTCCTTCCAATGTGGAGTAAAAAAGAAACTCTGAACTAGTGCAGCCAGTTCAGCCAAAAGGAACAGACCTCTTGTTTGTTTCACAATAGGTTTATTCTTTATTGCTGCACTGGTGAACTGATGCAGTAAGTTAGAGTGAAATAGAATATATTTGTCTCACTTTAATTTATTGCACTGATTTACTAGTGCAGCAACAAAGAACAAATCCTTTATGACGTGAAATTGACATTGTTTTGACTTTTCTGTTCTATTTGGGTAACAATTTGAGATTATCTTATATTTAGTTAATAATTACTCACCAGTAATTAGTGAGAACTTGACGGCGAACTTTGCTGGGATCTTCGTGATCACGTTTCCGGAAAGATCGCACCTCTTCAGCTCCGTGTGTCGCATTAAATGATAGACAGCGTCCGGAATTTGCATCAGCTGGCACTCTGACAAGTCTGAAACGTAAAAATGGGACGAGGTATAATTTTCCAAAAAAGAAAAATAGGAACACGCAATGAAACTTATTGCTATATAGTTATTTAAATTAATGTTATTCAAGTTATGTGTGTACAGTTAAATTTTCAAGACTCATTACAAAACTGATTAATTCAATAGTGATTTCAGTAACAGACTTTGAAATTTTTAGCGAAGTGGAACAAAAAGTTATTCTTATATTCCACAGAACGCGATTGCATTATTTACGACAGTCTTGCATTCGATTATGTATACAATTTCTACTCATCAAGTAGAAACGAACGCAAAAAATCGCTCATCGTTTTATGTGCAAAAAAAATCACTTCATTTCCCCGAACATTTAGTTTCGCGGACTGACAGTAATCTTTTCTCGAGCTAGAAAATAAAACTTCCTCCGCGTGATTCAAATTAAATTGAGATGGCACGATTTCTCTGCGCTTAGATATCGGCGGCATTAGCACCAAACCTTAATAAATGAAATTGTAAAAGTGTTCTATTACTCCAAAAAAAAAAGACGCGGAACAACACCACTAGTCATGGTGCATCGTTGCCCATCATAGGCTGAAAGTGCACTTAACGTCGGCGCCGCTGCGTTTCACGCTTTCTCCAACGCGGTTTCCACTACGGAAGACTGTCGACACTGACTAGCTAACGCGATCGCGGGAGCCGGGAACGTGTTACGGAACAAACATATTTCGCGTTATATTTATCAATCATCGCGTTCACATTAATAACTATGAAGCGTATATAGTTCCGGGAAAGAAGGAATAATGAACGGCAGAATATGGTGATTGGGTAACCCGACAAATTGTAAATACAAAAATTAATTCTATATTTATATTTATATAATATTTTATATATTTATATTTTTATATAATATTTTATATTTATATAATATTAATATATATGTTATATATATATGTATTAATACAATGATATATACTAATATGTTTTATATGAATAAAAATATCAATAAAAATATTTTATTATTAAAAATATATTATTAATTAACAAATTTATATATTTTACATTTATATATATATAAATATACGCAGTTAAAAAAATGTGTTTTCTTTTATTAAAAAATGTTCCCGTTAAAATATTTTATCATATTGTTATCATTCTGTTAAATATTTAACACATTCATGTGTTAATTTAACATATTGCTATTATGTTAATTAAATTCAAATGTTAAATTATTAAAAACAGAAAAGTGTAAAAATAATTGTGCTTCTATTTTTAATTTTACATAATAAATATGCTTTGTATTATTAATGACAAGATTTATCTATTAAAATTTACAGATAAAAATGTTGATTTTATTCTATAATATAAGTATGGATGGCACAATATAAAATTAACATTTTTTAGTTAATTTTTACATTAAAGCTATGTTAATTTTACACAAAATTTCTTTCAAATTACTTGAAGTTTGCATTTTTTGTATTAAAATATTAACACAGTATTGGTGCCACTATTTAACATGTCCATATTATGTTAAAATAATACAAAAATTCCTGCGGACCATTTGAGACATGTATGTTAAATTTTACACAATTTTTTGACTGTATTTTTAAATACCAATCTATATATAATATATTAATAATATATATATATAAATTTATAAATTTGCAATAAATTAAAAAAAAAAAAATATATATATATATATATATATATATATATGTTAATTCTTTATAAAATCAAATAAATGTCAACACGATTTTTTATAAGACAAGCTAGAATAATTTAAAGCCAGAATAATTTTAAAAAATATTTTAATTAATATGCATTTCTATCGTTTCTCTTAAATGTAATGAAATTATTGATGATTAATTTATAAGAATCGAAAATTATATTATTTCACAAAACTAGAAAGATTTATTATAAAATCAAAGAAATATTTTTTGTATAGTTTTATTACAGCTTAATAATTAATTGAATTTAATAAGAATTAAAATATAGTAGAGCACTATACGTACTTAATTCAGTGAAGAAAGGACATGTGAAAATTGAAACTTGAAATAACCTGACATATGAAAGAAGGCTCGCGCAACCAAAATTTCTTCAGATCGAGACTATTGTGTCACATTATTTTCGTAATAATTCCTGGTAGTAATCGTGCACAAATGCAAATTACGAAAGTATATATACATATATATATGTATACATATACGCAAACATTTTGCACAATTTGCCAACAAAGTTCATTTTAATTCTTCTCGCCGAATTTTAACCACTAATGAAAAGAAATTTTTTTAAATCACGCTTTCGCCGAATTTCCGCACAATTTATTACCGAGACTCTCGTTCTCCTGCGCCTCCTCGCAACGTAGAATCACTCTCGTCACGGCGTGCGCCATCTTGCCGCACTGATTCACTCATCTCCGCCGACGACCGCACGTTGGAAACATTTATTTCTGTGTGTGCGTGCTTTCCGAAATAATTCTCGCCACCTGGCTGACCGTGATACTCTCTTATCGCGACTCATTCCCTCGGAAATCGACGAGGAAGTCGCCGAAAAGCGCGAATTTGTCCACAAATAGACGCGTGCGTCTTTATTTATATCGATTTCAGAAATCAAAAGAATATGTTAATTAATATGTGTTGCATTTTGTTAAATACTTAAATAATTTTTGTGCAATTAAAATTTTTACAATTTTTTTAATACATGGCAAGAAGACAGATATGAAAATAGTCACATCGGATCGCTATTTGTTTATTATGACGTCATTTGAGGAAAAACTGATCTGCTTTTGCACTATTTTATTTTTTAAAAATATTATTTTATATATTATATTATTATACATATATGTATTATTATATTAATATTTTATATATTTTTTATATATTTTATACATTTTACATATATTTTATATATTTTATATATTTATTTCTTATTTATTATGTTTATTATTATGTATATATAAAATTCGATTTATTCTTTATATTTATTGACTTTTAATATATATTTATTTCTTATATTTATGTTTATTATTACGTTTAAAATTCGATTTATTCTTTATATTTATTGACTTTTAATAAAAATTTTTTTTAGATCTATTTAAAAATCTTGTGTAATTGTAATTTTTATCAAAAATCTGATAAGATGAACTAAGTAAGTTTCATATAAAACATTTAAAAGAGATTAATCTTAAATTCGTTAAATTCCTTTAAAAAAAAAGTTGAAATGTATTTTAAAAGAATGTTTCTTTTTTGTCTTTTTTAAAAGTCATTTAAAGTAATGTTATAAAAAAATCAACACTCTAGTTCAAAATATATTCTGTTACGAGACACTTTATATAACTCGTATAAATAAATTAAACAAGAATGAAATGCTCGAACGGTGATTATGCAATTAGTATGAAAGTCATTGTATAAAATTAGTAAGAAAGTTTTACTTTTCACTATTGCTCTCGCGAACGTCGCGACTAATTAATGTGCGTGCAATCATCCTCTTTTAATCAGAAAGTGATAAAAGAAACTCGATAGGGAAAAAAGAGAGCAAAAGTTACCGTTCAAAGTCACGAAACCTTATTAACTCCGTCACGCAGCCTTAGTCTTGACTTTGACGCTTGTTAAAATGGACCAATATTTATGTGTCTACGGCAAAATCATCTTTATCTGCAATATTGCAGATTAAAATACTGAATCCAATTTTTAATATTTGATTGATTTAATATATTTCAATTTTTTAATTTTTAATTTTAATTTCAATTTTTTTAAATTAATCTAATTAAAATTATTTTTTATAATTTTATTATTATAAAAGTTCTTTAAACTTTAAGAATTCGACGGATATTTAAAAATTAATAGCAAATAAAATAGGGTTCGTTTAAGTTAATGATTTTTTAAAAATAAATTAAGTTAACGTTATAGTTGCTTATAAAATTAATTTAGTTAAATTAAAAATTGCATGAATAGAAAATTAACTCAGTTAAAGTTAAGTTAAGATTAAATTAACTAAAGTTAAATCAAAAGTTAATTATTAAAAACATTTGTATAAAATTATAATTTTGTTTGTTAATTTTTTTAAAATGTATAATAACAAATAACAAAAAAATTTGATTTTTATATAGAAATATATTTTTTGGTAATTACAACCAATGACAAATAAACATAAAAATTAATAATACTTTAATTTAAAAATAATACATTTATGACTTATAAAAAAACAATAATGGTATACAGAGATATAATAAAAAAATTTAACTTGGAAAAAAAGTTAATAAGTATAAGTCAAAAATAACTAGTTGAAGTTAAAAGTTAATATATTTTAAATTAACTAAGCTAATAAGTTATTAACTTTTAACTAATTAAGTAGTTATTATTCAACCCTGATAGCAGTATTTCCATAATAAAATAAATTATAAAAAATTATATAAAATGCGATTAATAAGTTCTAATTAATAAAAAATTTTTTTTAAAAGGATGAGAAAAGATTACAGTTTTTTTTTAAACTAAATCATAATTGCACAAAAAGATGTAACTATCAAGCATCATCAGAATCCGAAATTTATAACTCAAACTTGGATTAGAACCAAGAAGCTAAATAAAAAGATCTGCGTTAGCAAAGATTTATCGTTAACATTGTATTTCCTTTTTTTAGCGATTTATTTACTCTATGCGCAATTCCTGTTTTCGATATATTTACTATATCGAAAACGATATAAAAACTATATAAAAAATAAAAAATACTATACAAAAAATATAAACTATATAGAAAATATATAAAAAATAACTACATAAAAATATATAAAGATACTATAAAAATATAGTATTTTTAATTATAACTATATAAATATACTATTTTTAACTATTTAACTATATAAAATATATTAAAATACTATATAAAATGTAGTATTTTTAACTATATAAATATACTATTTTTGACTATTTAACTATATAACTATATAAAAAATATATAAAATATATAAAAATATAAAAAATATAAAAATAAATATAAAAAATATAAAAAATAACTATATAAAAAATTTTTTTAATGTTCTAAGAAAAGAATAGATATACATAGCTTCTTGATTTGGAATTCGGAGTGCGTAGATGAACATTGCCAAGGCTCCACTTTATACTATTCCAAGATCGACCTTTCGCGAGTGCACATCGGGTGTCCCGAAGATACTCAGCAGATGATGATTATTGCTCGAGAAGAAAAAAGAGAGAGAGAAAGAGACAAAGACCGGACGTTGGATAATGTTTATCTAGTCCAATTATCTATGCCGGAGTTACGAAGCACACGAGTATTTCACTTTTATCCGAGCTGATATGCTCGGGAAACGCCACCTGTTTATTTATCCATTCTTATATTTAGCTTTCATCTCTTCAGGAACTTCACATCGCTTTTAATTGTGCTATCCGATGTAGCAAGTTCTCGCGGCTCATTGTCAATTTAAAAGTACATATATTTAGTCTCTCCACTGATTTTTGAATTAATTGCATTCTATCTTCACTACCCAACCTATTTTAATTTATCCTTGTATAATTATATTGTTTTATATGTTATATTTCTAAAAAATGTGTTTTTTTTGTTTTATCGTAATTTATTATTTCTATCGCACAATTTTTTATATTTTCCCTTATATATAATATATATATTATATATTAATAATATATATTGTATTAATTATTACATTAAATATTAATATTATATTATATATTAATATATTTTATATTAATATTTTATTATATTAATATATTATATATTAATATAAAATATTATATTTAAATATTATATTATAAAATGTAATATTATATTATATATTATACATTGTATTATAAATGTTTGTCTTTTTTGTCATAATTTATTTCTATCATACATATTCTTTTTATATCTCTGTTATAATATTATTTTTATAATTTTGTTATAACATAATTTTTTTATATTTCTAGTTGTAATATAATTTTGAGTTTGCGTTCCTCTAAATTTATCGAGATAAAATTAAATTAATTGCACTAACAGGATAAAGCGGATGTGTGTTCTCCATACAGCATATAATCACTTTTACGCGACAATCGAGTACGTCATCCATACTTTCTACGGAACTATGCTATAGTTTTTTTGTCAAGTGTGCGTTGTGGAAATCGCAACATATTACGTCTCTCGGCGATCATCGATCAATTTTCAGTCGCTTGTTTCCCGTTTTTTTCTACACTAATAACGATAATGTTGTTGCGCTTGTGCTGGGAAAATGCGTATCCGCGAGAAGAAAGTAGGAGAGTTCGTTAGCCGTGCAAAGCAAACTGAGTCATCGATATCACGCTAACGTATCAGATAAGATATTAGAAAATACGTGCAAAAACGTGTTATTGCGATTTATCACCCTTTGATTGCACCCTTCGATCTGATAATTAATATAAATATCAGGATTGGGTATAATAACTAGTTAATTAATTAAAAGTAAAAAAAAGTTAATTTTTAACTTAGCTTAGTTCATTTAAAATTAAAATTAATTTACAATTAATTAAAAAAAAATAATTAATTAGTATTTTTAAATTAATTAAAATTAACTAGTATTAATTTTTAACTTCAACTAGTTATTTTTGATCTTAATAAATTAATTAAAATTTTTCCCAAGTTAAATTTTTTTATCTCTGATAATACCATTATTGTTTTTTTATAAGTTATAAACGTGTTATTTTTAAACTAAAGTATTATTAATTTTTATAGAACACATGAATAACATAAAAGTGCACAATAGTAACGATAACGTGATAAGCAAACATAGAAGTGAATTTTTACACGACTTTAAATGGGCAAGCTTTAATATTTTACATCGGGAAATACATACGAAAAAAAGAGAGTTAGCAGAAATGTTCTACATTAAAAAATTTAACAACACGATCAATCTTCAGAAAGACACAAAGAATTTAAATCCTATATATGATTTGGTTATTAAGGCTGCTTAGTTAGTTCGTTTTCTAATATCACGACGTTAATATCCAACGTAGGACAAATTTTAGTATGAATTTTATTATGTAGAAGTGTGTCAATTTATTTCTTAGCAGGTATGATTTTTATTTAATTAATTTATATACATTGATTTACGCTATTTATCATTTTTTAAAAATGTGCTTTTTATTAATAATTTATCAACATTTATAATTATTACTTTTTGATTGTAGACTTGATAAGGAGCTGAACTAAGGTCGAAACGTTGTCTGAATTTTGAATAAATAATTAAAGAATAACATTGCCAGTTGTGGTCGGTTTATTAACACATTTTACATTTTTATTAATTTTTATGTTTATTTGTCATCAATTGTATAATTACTAAAAAATATATTTCTATATAAAAATCAAAATTTTTTTGTTACTTGTTATTATAAATGTTAAAAGAATTAACAATGTTTTTAAAAATTAACTTTTGATTTAACTTTAGTTAATTTAATCTTAACTTAATTTTAATTAAGTTAATTTTTTGTTTATGGAACTTTTAATTTAACTAAATTAATTTTAGAAGCAACTAACTTTAACTTAACTTAATTTTAAAAAATTATTGACTTTCCGAACTCTGATAAATATAGGATAAATCTTATTGTTAGATATATATCTGAAATTATGGAGCTCTAATTTTAAACATTTTGGAACTTTCAACAAAATATTTAATCAAAGATTTATTATGATATATCACTTTGTATTATTATCACAAATCTTTAATAAAATCATCATTGCGTTCGACTATAAATCATATTAATATCGCAGTTATATTTATAATTAGATTTTTGATATCAAGATTTACGAAATTCCGAAATTGATATGAGAAATATAAAAAAATATGAGATAGAAATAATAAATTGTAATAAAAGTAAAAAGAACTTTTTATAATATTTTATAATATTTTTATAATATTGTAATATAAAATTTTGTAATATAATTTTTTTATAATATTTTCATAATAATTATAATATAATATATTTTTATTGATAATTTTTATAATATATAATAAACAATTTTATATTAATAGTATAATGTAAAAAAATATGTGATAGAAATAATAAATTGATGACGCATTCTGGACAATATATTTTTTTATTATCATTGATCTTAGATAGATCCCATCTAAATTCAATATTGATTTCAATCTAAGTGTGAGTCACATATTTTTTGATTTTTCATAGAATTGTAATATTGCAGTTTTTGAAAGAAATTATATAAATCTATAAATTTTTTATTCTATTAATAAATCATTAAAATCAAATCTCTATTAAAGATGTCAAATTTTACATACTTTTTTTATGTCTATTGTATTTTTAATTTTCATAATTTACTTTCGATTAGAAATTATACATGATTATATACGTACTTTCTTTAGTCTCACAAATATTAGCACATTAAAAAAGTTGTAGTGATCAAGATCAGATAACATTACACAGATAAGGCAAGGATATACAAGTTATATATCTTAAATAAGGAAGACACTGACATATTTATAGGCTCGACTATTCTATGAGATAATTAAGTTTCTCTTCGAACAATTTTAATTGGACACTAGTCTGATACTACTGCATGAAGTTAAATGCACTCGTCAAGTTTTCAAGATTTGGGTCTGTCAAACATCAGCAAAGTCAAGCATCGAAATCCTGGTAGTGCCAAGAAATTAGAGACAAAGTAGCGAAGGCTTGAAACATCTCTAGAGATCTGAACAAATTTTCGAACAAAAAATTTTAATATTTTTTTAATTGAGCAAAAGATTATAAATTTAAAATACTTTTTCTCAATGTCGAAAGGACCTCTTCAGGATCTGAAACGTCTTTTTAGCCAAATGAACAAATTTTCGAACAAAAAATTAAAACAAATTTTTTAATTGAGCAAAAGGTTATAAAATTAAAATACTTTTTCTCAATGTCGAAAGGATCTCTTCAGGATCTGAAACGTCCTTTTAACCACTTGAAAAAATTGCCGAGATCCGGAACATCTTTTATACGTTTAAATAAAGTCCAAAATTGAAGTCGCGCATCTTTCAGTCACTCTTCGCGATATTTCACCCACCTAGGTTACAATTATCCTGGGCTTCCTCGCATCGCGAAACCACCCTGATGATCGCCCGACCAGCAAGTTGCACGCAAACCGCCATCGCGACGTTTCTCTCGCCCTGCTCCTGCGAGATCTGCTGCATTGCTTCTTCATTGTACGGTGGCCTCATGATTCTTCACTATCTTCGCGAGAAATTATTTCTTCTTTCTTTTCTCGTCGAAATCAGATTTCGATCCTTGCAGTAATTTTTTTATAGCTCTTCTTCGATCCTTCCTGATCGCTACGAGGACATTTTGTAAGCTTCACCTGTTATCCTTTTTTATATTGGACACTGGATTTTAATATTAATTAGTCTTTCACTACAATATTTGAATTTAATTCAAATATACGAAATTTCCAGGTTTTCGGTTTCTTCAGGATTAAAAATTAGGACACAAGATCCTTTAATCCTTCGATTTCACTGGGATAAGAAATTATTCAGGCAAAAGCGACTCTTTCGAAGGATCCTCGCGGGCGGAACTTCAGCAACTTTCGGCCGACTTCCTGCGCGAAGGAAGAATTGAGTCCTCGGTATTTTTCGACGTACCTGAAGACCATATGACTCCGTTTCAACACTAACTCGCACGCGGTGCACGCGGTGCTATTTAAGCCTTCGCCACTTTCTCCCTCCACCAGGGGAGCGTCTCGAATCAGCTGACTACTGATCTCCCTCTCTTTGTTTGAAAACAAACGCAGTCAAGTATACTGCGCGACACGCAGGCTGTCAAATTCGTCGACGTCGGGATTTCCGCGTTAGAGAGCCTTGTTTCAACTTTTCGTCAAGGTTTTCCGGCTGCATCAGGGTTCCTTCGAGATTTCTTCGGCGTTTTTAGCGTCTGAAAAGGACAAAGAACATTTTTGGTTAATAAATTATTGTTCCATAATTTATTAAACAATAATTGTTAATTATTGTTAAATATTGGTAAATTGAACATTTTTCATTGTTTTAGGCGACTTTTTTATTATTTGGGGATTTCTTCTTCCTTAAGTCTTTTTAAAATCTCTAAAATGGAATTTTTATGTTAGAGTAACATTTTTATCTTTTTTCTCTTTAAGAAAAAAAGCTCTTTAACAATAATATTCTAAATTAGCTGTTAATACAGCTAATTTCAATAAAATTTCTTTCAAGTCTGTATCACGATTTTTTCGAGATTTCTTCAGCGTTTTTTTAGCGTCTGAAAAGGACAAAGAACATTTTCGATTAATAAATTATTTAATAATAATTTATTAAACAATAATTGTTAAAATTATTGTTTACTTATTGTTAAATATTAGTAAATACTAAATATAAAATATTAGAAACGTTTTCCATTGTTTTAAGTAATTTTTATTATTTTCGAATTTCTTCTTTTTTTAAGCTTTTTAAAATCTCTAAAATGGAATTTTTATGTTAAAATAACATTTTTATCATGTTCTACAGTTTTCTTAAAAAGGAAAAAATTCTTTAACAATAAAATTCTAAATTGGTGGTCGTCAAAAATAGCTAATTTGGATAAAATAAGACAATTCTTTCAAATCTATTTATCTTTTTTTTAACTTCCTTTTCCATTGAAGAAAAAAAGAATTCTTCAATATTTAAGTTGTCAATAAATTATCAGCAGTTGATTTTCATTTAATACATTAATTAATCAAGTTATATCCCATATAACACAAAATATTTTTAAAATCTTTTAAAAATATTTTTTAAAAGATAAAATAATTCTCGATAATATTTTTAAAATGTTTTTATGTCCACCTTTTTATGTTTAAAAAATATTTTCACAAATATTTTTGAATATATATTCAACTAATATTTCAAAAATATGTATCAAATATTTAAAAAATTATTGTCTGAGCTATAAAGAACATTTTTAAAAATATTTAAAAAAAATTTGTTAAATATTCTAAAAAGTGTTATCACAAAAAATTTTTAAATTATTTTAAAATATTCCTAAAACATTTTTAAAATGTTGTCATGTAATATTTTATAGAAATATTTAGAAATATTTTTTGAAAACATTCGTAATATTTTGTGCTGTATGGGATTGTGTGCGATAAAAAGATTCGATATACTATATATATATATATATATATATATATATATATATATATATATGGGTATGTGTAATAATGAACTTAAGAATAGAGATACTACAAAGCTGAAAAATTCGACGAATTCAATTTTAGTTTCGTTCTGTAGAATGTGATTCACCTCGGCATGGCCAGATCACAAAAGCTGAAAAAGCATCCAAGTCATCGGCATTATATTTTGCATTGGAACAAAAAATCCCCAATGTCAGTCTTGACGCGCATTGAGCTTTTCGATTAAATAGTTTACGAACAAAGGAATTTTATAAATAAAAATATACTTCTTTTTGTCGCTAAACACACTTTTTCAGGATCTTTTTATTAAAGATTATTTGAAATATTTCTTAATTTAAAAATATATAATTAATATTTTTAAATATTAAATGTATAATTATATATATAATTATACATTTGGACATTATACATTTGGACATTATACACACATTTGTACATTATACATTTTTACATTATACATTTATACAAGATGTATTTATATATATATATATAATATAATTTTAAATATAAAAAATACAAAAGATGTAAAATGTAGAAAAAAATATCAAAATAAAATATCAATATTCATATATATGCGAAATATTTATGTATCATCCGATTCTTTTGCTATAAATATTTACGAAATTATATAACTTATTTTATTATCTAATATATTCCAAAATATATCATACATTATTTATATCTTTATTTAATAAAATTACTTAATATATAACAAATACAATGCGCACATTTATAATTAATATAATATATAATTAATATAATTATATAATATTAATATAAACTAGGTATATATTTTTTCACCAATATTATTGTTTTATAAAAATTATTTCGCAAGATAATAAAAAGTCAATAGTGAAAAACAGATTCTAATACACAGAAAGATTCAGTATTTATCATTGCAGTTTCTACCACCTGCTATTCAGTTGGTATGCGCAATTTGGGTTAATATTTAGGAAATCATATCAAACGTGCGTCACTGTATTTCGCTGTAATATTTCACGCGAATATGTCTGGAGGAATTTGCGAAATTGCCAAAAGTGCCGCTGCGGCACAAAGCGAGTTTAATTTTAGAACGATTATGAAAAATCGACTGCCTTTAACTGTCTTTCTCGTATTTTTATAGGTTTCCACAAATTTTCTTTAGTATATATATTTTATGTTGTCACATTATTTCGTGTCAAGATATACGCGTATACATTTTATCGCTATTTATTTACTTATCCATATTTCTGCATTTTTTTAGAGATATAACAAAGATTTTTTTGTTAGAAAAGTCTAATTATTTTACAATAAAAATCAATAGATATATAAATACAATTAAAAATCCTAAAATAAAATAAGGAAATTTATATAAATAGCTGAAGGTTTACGATATATATTTTTATTTTTTTTTGTCAATTAAAAACATATATATATATATTATATATATATATATATATATATATATATATATATATATATATATCTTATCCAAAATGAAACGTCCATATCATTATCAATAATCATTTTTTTAAAGAAGCAAAATATAATAAATAATAATAAAAATAAAAAAATAAAAATACACTCGTGAAGCGCTTTTTGTTAATATACTGTCTAAAAAATTTTCCACGAGTGTTTTTCTTTTTTTCTACGCTAGAGGACTCTGCTCTCCATTTCTCTCTCTCTCTCTCTCTCACTTGTGCGAAGCTCACAATTAATGCTCAACCAGGGTAAAATGTTTATACGGCTTTCACGGTTTGCTTGGCCCGCGGCCAGAAAATACTGCGCGTGCATCTTTGCCGACGAAAATAGACAGGGACAGGCCAAAATCCCCCATGACTTCTTCTCTTTCATCGTTTTCGTTTCCTCAAACGATGTAGAACGTACAAAGACTACCAGAACGATGGAGGATATACACAGACATATACACAGAGATATATTTCATATTTTTTATATATTTTACCTAAATTCCTTATAATTTATCAGGGTTGGGTAATAACTAGTTAAAAGTTAAATAATTAATAACTTTTGACTTTTTTAGCTTAGTTAATTGGAAATGCATTAATTTTTAAGTGTAACTATAGTTATTTTTGACCTTAAACCTATTAACTGTTTTCCTAAGTCAAATATTTTTTATCTCTGAAAACTATTATTGGTTTTTTATAAGTTATAAACGTATTATTTTTAAATTAAAGTATTATATTAATTTTTGTTCAATTGTAATTACCGAAAAATATATTTCTATGTAAAAATCAAGATTTTTTGTTATTTATTATTATATATTTTAAAGAATTAACAAACAAAATTAAATTTAATACAAATAATGTTTTTAAAAATTAAGTTTTGATTTAATTTCACACAGTTAATTCAATCTTAATTTTAACTGAATTAATTTTTTATTCATGCAAATAACTTTTAACTTAACTAAATTAATTTTATAAGCAACTAACTTTAACTTAACTTAGTTTTAAAAAATCGTTAACTTACTCAACTCTGTAATTTATATTATAAATAAAAAATTAACAATTAAAATTTAATTAAAAGAATTATATTATAATTTTTTTGAAAGAATTAACAAACAAAATTATAATTTAATATAAATAATATTTTTAAAAATTAACTTTTGATTTAACTTCAGTTAATTCAATCTTAACTTTAACTGAGTTAATTTTTTGTTTATGTAAATAACTTTTAACTTAACTAAATTAATTTTATAAGCAATCAACTTTAACTTAACTTATTGTTAGTTTTAAAAAATCATTAATAATAAGTTACCCAACCCTGTAATTTATATAAAAAATTCTTATAATCAGACATGATTAATAGAGACATTCAAATTTCTAGATTTTTTGTTAAGAACAGTTTGAAAAGAAAATAAAAGGAGAAAGCGAAAGAAGAGAAGAAACATCTTCGCAGTTTCTGCGTTGTCTCATGAACTTCCGTCCCGTATTCTCCGCCTTTTTTCTATTTTAACGAAGAACACGAGGACACCCCTTCTTGGCTCGCACCCTCGCCAACGAGAGAACGTTGGCCCTATGGAATCGTCGCCGATGCTGACGTCTGTCCACTCTTTGTACTACGACCGTGTCCTCTCCTTCTCATCTGTATATGTATCTGCGTACTGCGTCTTCGGTTTTCGTGTTTACCAAGAATCGTGTGTTCTCACGCGAGTGATGATAATTTTACAAATACTAGACAACATAAGCGCGCTCCTACGATATCATTTCTATATTGTTTATTTTACAACTGTCAAATTGTTAATCTTCGCAATGACAGTTGCTTGGTACTATATGATACCATAATTTTAATTCGCCGAATTTCTACTATGTACATAATTTTAATTTCCGAGTTTTTATTACGTACATTTTTTAATTCTCGAATTTTTATTATGTACATAATTCTAAATCGTCGAATTTCCATTATGTAAATAATTTTAATGTATTGAATTTCTATTATGTATACATAATTTTAATTTTCCGAATTTCTATTGTATTGTTTGAGAAGCATTTTTTATTATATGTATATATGT